TTTACAGAGAATCTGATCGAAGAGCTGAATTCATCATGCTAGTCCTCTGCGCTAAGTCCAGATAATGAGCAGTTGGGAAAGCGATCTTGTGTGGACATTCAGAATACTGGAGTTTTGAGCAACTCAACATTTTAGATTCAACTACGTCATCAACAGCAGTTAAAGCCCTAAATCTGAGGATGCAAGAAACAACCTAGTAAAAGCTGCACAATATCTTCAATCATCGGAAAGAAAACGGTACCTGCTGTCTTGTCTATCGATCTATCTCCAGATATGAATTTCAAAACTTTTAAGACCTGGGCTAATTTTTAGTAATTTAATAGTATCATGCTTTCTTTAGAGATCAGTTCGAATGACGGTCGTTAATTCTTTCATCCCAGTTTATGGCCAAAATGACATTCTAAATAGCCTGTCTTGAAAGATGCAGGAAATTTGCCAGCCTCGTTGCCTATCTGCAGGATTCATGATGCATGTTCATGCGTTTCCATGGCATTCCCTCATTAGCACCTAACCTTCTTCTGTCAATCACTTACTTTGATAATGGCCTTTTTCGCGACGGGCACGACGAGACTGAGCTCGTTGAGGACATACCTGTACCAACAGAAGAAAAAATGAACAATTGGTTAACCTCTTTGATTTTTATCAATATCATTGCTTAATAATCTGGCCCAGTCTTTAACTGATTGCTTTCTCATGTTTTTCATGCATTTCAGATTGCGCGGCGACAAAGGGCTTAATTCAGAACAATATGCTCCAGCCGTTTACCGCGCCTTACTATAATAGGTAAAATGTGAACTCTGTTATTTACTCAATAATTTCTACCAGTACTACGTCGTGGACGACTGGAAGCGATTGTCTGTGAGTGATACCATGGCTAGCAGCACGGAAGTAACAGAAAAAAATAGATTTAGCATACCTATGTTTCGACTGATAGTAATTATTAATCGGTTATTAGTAATCAGCATGTAGTCTGATCTTTGACTGTAGTCACATTTTCTGCTGGGCTTCATCTTTCAGCGGTTTAGAGGTGATGACGGCAGCCTTGTCCACTTTGAATCCGGTTTAGCATAGACCGGCAGTAAAAGTCAGGACATGGAATGCATTATTTGTGAATGCCACCGGGGACGTTTGATGGCACGGCAACCGATGTTCAAAGCATCATTCCGACCGTCGGTTCTTTCAGTAATTTTGGAATTTCGGTTTGACGATCATGTCACCTCCAGCCATACGACAGATTAGTGATCTTTTTAATTGCGATGTGCCTGAATATGGATCATTTCCTTGATCATGAGCGATACTCGTTTGGTCGAAGCATTTATTTAGTAAACATAACGTTTCCCTGTCGCTAACCAGGGAATAAAACATATAACGATTTTTCGTCATTTTTTTACTAACAGGCAATATTATGCTATTTGCTAATTATAGCGCCTTGTACAGTGGGCAATGTCTTCCAAACTACTCTGTTCAAACAGCTGGATGTGCACTGTACGGCAACAACACTGCGCAGCCGTATTCGGTGGCTTCGTTGCCGCAGCCGTACGGTAATTGTATGCTTCATAACTTAATGATACAAATGACCTAATAATACCGTCATATGTTTCAGCCGGTCGAAACGTAAAGTCTAGTCCTTACTCGTCGTTCAACGCTTACTTTGGCACTGCGAGCAGTGCCCTGTCGGCTGCGGCGGCTCCATGTTGTGGTACGTTTAAATTAAACTTGAACCAAACATGCTAGTTGCTTGTTTACAGCAACTGCCTATGCCTCAACCCTGGGCACTCACGGCCTAATCACCCTGCCGAACGTGACTCCTCCGACCCTGGAATGTGCTGGTTACTCTTCGGGCTCTTATCCGCACGGATATTCCCAGTACTATGGTGGACTTGCCTACAATTCCTACGGTCAAATCAGCGGCTCGATTCCGGTCGTCACCACGACCGTCACCTACCAGCTGTCACAGCTCCCTCCGTGCACCACCGTAGCGACCAGTCTGTCGGCGGTCACTGAAGATCCG